TTTTATTCCTTTGCCAATGATATATTCATTTAATCTTAGCCATCTATTWGAAAGAAGCTTAGATTCTTTTTTCATATCAGCAAATTTGACTAAAGATTCACAGTCAGTTCTGAGTGTRATTTCMTTTTTCCCTGTTARAAAGAGAGCAAAAGATTCACAGGAATTAATAACAGCTAAGACTTCAAAATCTAAAGATGTTAATCTTCYTTTTTCTTTGTAAACACCTGAAGCATATCTACAAAGTTGTTCTTCATGGATAGAGGAATATTTTGAGGGTCTTTTTAAAAGAATTCCTCCMCAACCATGTGCAGATCCATCAGTTTGAACAATTAAGTAATCTGAATCAAGAGGTAAACTCATTTCAGGAAGATTCATAATTAATTGTTTTAGCTCTTGAACAAGTTTAATATCTTCAGTATTAAACTTTCTTGTTCCTTTAACTGAGGTTTTGTTGTAAAGAGGAGCAGTATATTTAGAAAGATCTTTGATAAAAGGTCTAAAATAATTTAGAGAACCCAAAAAACTTTGAAGTTGTTTTAAGTTTTCTAACTTATCTGGAAATTCAGAAATCTTTCTAGATATATGAGGTTGGAGTTTAATCCTTCATTTTCCTATTTCAACACCAAGAAATTCAATATGTTCTCGAAGAAGCTGCATTTTCTTGAGTGAAATTACCATTCCTTCTTTTTCAAAGATTTTAAAAACAGTATACAAATGTGCATAGTGTTCATTTTTGTCTTTTGAGAAGACCAGGACATCATCAATGTAAACACATGTGAAATTAGATAAGTGTTGAAAACAATTATCCATTTTTCTTTGAAAGATTTGAGGGGCATTTTTTAAACCAAAAGGCATAACCTTCTATTCAAAATGACCTTCACTACATGTAAAAGTTGTCCATGGGATTGACTCAGGGTGCATTTTTACTTGCCACAATCTTGATTTGAGATCAAATTTTGAAAACCATTTAGCACCTTGGATTTTGTTTAACAAAATTTCTTTTGTAGGAATACAATAGCCATCAATATGTGTATTGTCATTCAATCTTTTATAGTTAAAAACCATTCTTGATTGACCACGTTTTCTTTCAGATTCTTTCTGAACTATAAAAGCAGCAGTTCTATGACTAGAAGTGCTTCTGGTAATTACTCCAAGTTCTAATAATTGAGAAATATGCATTTTGAACTCATCAATAGTCCAATTATCATATTTAGGCATTCCTGTCTTAATTACTAAATCTGGATTAATTATTTCAAGTTTACAAAAGATTTTATTTCTATCCCAAAACTTTGTAGGAATTTCCCCAATAATTTCAGTCTTTTGTAAATGATCCACCATATGTAAAATACCTTCATAAGCAAAAGATTTACTTATAAGCTTTTGATTCAAGATATGGGGTTTTATGAGTTTATATGATAAGTCTAAAAAAGAATAATCTTTAAAAGAGTCATCATTTTCAGAGTCATTTTCCAGAATCTTAGGGAAATTTGGAAAATCAATTAAAGTCTTCTCAGGACTAAGTGATGCTAGTTTTTTGTACAACTAGTAGTATTGTTACAAGAACAATTTTTATTTTCAGGAATACAGACAATCTTAGGGTTTTGCAAACTTTCTTCTTCAGTACTACCATTTCCACCATGCTTGTGAGCGTACTCTGATATAACTGGTGTAAAAGCAGTATGTTGAGAAAAAAGGACATAATCGTTACAAAGAGTAACAGATCTACCTTTGGCCAGAAGAAAATTTAACCCAAGGATTAAATTTATGCCATAAAGCTTATCAAGAGGTTCAACCCAGCATATGTCTAAAGGATATACATCAGACCAATCTTGACAATTTGTTTGAAATTGGATTTGAAGATTTTTGAAATAATGATTGGTTGAGTGTATCATTCCTGTAAACGTCATAGATTGCAAAGGCTTCTGTGCTTCCACAAGTTTATCAAGTAAAGATGGAGGAAGGATAGAAGTGTCTAAAGTTGTTTGAGATGCTCCTGTATCAATAAAGGCAGGTATCACCACCATTAATAATTCGAAGAACTGTTGAGGTGAAATTCCTTATGTTATTACCTTGTGAAACAAGTTGTGCAAGTGGTTCAGGAAAATGTTTTTTCCAATCTTCCCATGCAGCAAATGCAGTAGTTCCAAGATAGTTTTCAGCAATAGAAATCATAACTTCTGCATTAATGTCTTTTTCAAGATATTTAGCAGTATAGTCACGGTGAACTTCTTGAGACCAAGTTTCTAAGTATGAATTCCATAACTGAGGATGAATATCAGTTAGATTCAATAAAGGTGTAGATTTCCAAGTAAAAGTTGGATCAGTTGGCAATCTTCTTCCTTTATTCCTGTAACTTTGTGTAGGTTCAACATAACCTTTGGCTTGAGTTCTAGGAGGTCTACCTGTTTCATAAGTCATGCTTTCCAGTCTTCCWGGTAAAGGATGAGTAACAGARGATCCACTTCCTTCATTCATRAGAGCAAAATTAATGGTCTYTACAKAATCTGATAAGAAAGAGTCCAAAGRATCYTCATCTTTTGGAGTTATTCTTATATTYCCTAAATCATCTTGATAGATAATTTGTGATTCATGAAGTTGTCCTTGTTTCTTAAGAAGAACTTCCATKTCATCAATCTCCTTAGGATCAAGAGTATAACCAAATAATTCTTTAGGGTAAAGAATTTTATGATCTGTGTCACTCCATCCAGTGGGTTTGATATCTTCAATTTTAATCTTGCTTGACTCAGGAGGAGTATACTTGACTAAAAAGGGTTTGATTTTATTTGGGTTACTAGAATCAAAGTACTTAAAGTCTTCTTCTAATGTATCCCATTCATCACTTAATTCAATATTCATAAAACTAGTGGAAGATCTATGAGGATCTTCATCAGTAGTTTCAGTTTCATCATCAATATGTGAAGATGAGGCATTGTCCTTATAATTTCTAAATCTYARAGATTTARATCCAYTAGGGTTRATGTAAGAGACATAACTTGTGGGGACAATAGTAGTTGGTTCTCTGTGAAATGGAATGGTCCATTCACTTCCARCAATGGTTTGAGAATCAATGTRKACTGGGGGTATCATTTGTATTCCTCTAGAAGACAAAGTCTGTATGAYTRAGTCAATATCAACATTATACTGACTTCCAGTTGTTCCAGTTAGTCTTCCTAAAAACACAATTTCTACTCCAATATTTCTTCCTATAAAGTTTTCATATCCTAGTGTTTGGATTTGCAAGGTAACATGCTTACAGAAATCACTAACACTTAATGAAAAGWTTTGAGGAGCAATATAAGCAACACCTATATTGTTATTTAAATCAATTTCCATGGTTCCTATAATARCTTGATCAAGATTAGAAAATCTATTGTCAATCAAGACTAACAARGCTTTTGTYCCTGCACCKGTTCTATGATATCCTTTAACTGCAATAGTTAAAAGTCCAAAATGTAGAGTAGTTCTGCTGGTTTGTCTTAATCTAATACTAGCTTCTCTAGTCATTARATTAATAGAAACAACTCTTCCTTGAGGTACRRCAAGCATTTGTAAACTATGATGTCTAAAAAGACCAGAGTTTCTTGCAAACATCCCAGTAGAATAAAGTCTAGTAGRRTTGAAGGCTTCTAACTGATTATGAYTAAGAAGTTGCATACTTCTATCMACATTAATCATATCTTCAAGTCTTGAAGTATTAGAAGGTCTTCGAGCAAATAAATTTCCTAGGGTAGTGAAATTTAGCCTAGTTTCTTGTCCAATCATTTGAGATCTGTTATTTTCAGTGGAATTATTTTCATTGATAGTTCTAGATCTACCAAGAAAAGAAGTTCTAACTGCCATTTTGCTTGTAAACAAGAAAATTTGTTTTAACTTTGGGAGCAGTTTTCTTTTCAAAAGTTGTTGAAAGATTTGAAAAATTCCCAATAAGATTATCAAGATCTTCTTTAAAAGTGATTTTATCAACTTTGTGATGTAAAGATACTAAAAGAGAGATGATTATATTGTTTTGTGAAATAACCAATTTATTTGATTCTGAAGCAATATTACTTGTCTCAGAATAACCAATGGGTTTTGGGAAATTCTGTTGGTTACAAAACTTATAAGCTTCTTCAAGTAYTTTACCTTCAAATTTTAAGTTCATTTAACTTCGAACCAATTTTTCAATTTGTTCTAAATGAAACTTAATTTTTTCAAACTGATCTTGGGATTTTTCCAAAACTGCAAGAACTTTTTCTTGAGAAATAGAATCTTTTGAAATAGCCTGACTATTAATCAAAAAATTGTATTTCTTTTCAAAGCAAACAACTTTTTCTTCCAAACTGCTTTTACACCAGTTATATCAGAGTACGCTCACAAGCATGGTGGAAATGGTAGTACTGAAGAAGAAAGTTTGCAAAACCCTAAGATTGTCTATACTCCTGAAAATAAAAATTGTTCTTGTAACAATACTACTAGTTGTACAAAAAACTAGTATCACTTACCATAACTCTTGATAAGGCTTAATCGATATCTCATATCTAAAATGATTATTTACTTATCTAATAATATCTTATATAATTATCTAAAAACATTTAAGATAATTATATACATATTTATAGATTAAACCCTGTAATTATAATAATCACAAAACAGTACATATGTTTAGATTTTTTTTCTTTAGTGGAAGCATACGTGTTCTTTGTGTGCGACCCTTTAGGTTTACATGGCTTGTTGGCAGTGTATCTGAGTGACACGCGTCATGGGTATAACATACAACTTACAAATATTTATCGTCAATTCGAACAAAAATACAGTTTTTTTATAAATTCAGACTCCAGCTCCTCCAAAAACATATCTACCACACGCTATATTGTACACGTACGCTACTGGTACCACTAAAAAAATATTCGAGCTCAAGTAATATTTATTCAAACTCAAGCTTAATATTATATTTTCGAACCGAACCCAAACAATCTGTAAAACATTGATAATTAATTCTTAAATGTTTAAAATGTTGCTTAAATAACAATAAATAAAAAACTGTAATTTGTTGTCAAAATCCAAATAACTTGTGATGTTACAAAAAACATCAAAGTTATATCATATCCCTAAACACATTGGTATTAATAACCATTTCTACCACCTATTGAAGCAAATCATGGAATCTTCCTTCTATAATCCCTTCCATCCCAGATGCATATGCTAGAAATATGACATTGAAAAAAGTTGGTAAGGGATTAAGTAACTGGTAAGACTTGAGTATGGGGTTGTTTGGCAATTGCTGAATGGTTTGGTGCAAAATGATTAAGTGGTCAGAATGATTAAGAGGCTCTTATGATATAGTGCAAAATGAAATATAATTGTTTGATAATTGTGTACAATGAAATTAGGGTTCTTAATGGTTAATCTTAATGGTTAAGGGAGATCCAAGATACAAAATTATTCAGAGAGTTTTAGAACCATTAAGAGACAGATTTTTTTTTTTGCCAAACAAGATTCATCTCTTAACGATTCAGAGGTTGCCTCTTAATGAAACTATTAAGAGGTAAACAAACAATCCCTTAACTATTAGGTCATGGGATTAGGCCATTTTTTGGCCATTTTTGGCATTTACATAGTTTTTACAAAGCAACTTGAACTCACTTTGCTAGGTTAGGTAAAACCTAGCTTCCAAACCCAAATCTTATTAAGCTAACTGGTAAGACTTGAGTATGCCTAACTATTAGGCCATGGGATCAGTTGACATGTGCACAAACCGGCCCAGACACCCGTATACCCAAAAAAAGATAAAGATCGTAACTGGTAAGGTGAGTTCAAGTTAAAAGCGAGGCAAACCCAAGGTCTTAACCGATTACATTCTTTTATCCTTTCCTTTTTTATACGTGGGCGTCCGGGACCTTTCCCGTAACTGGTAAGGTGAGTTCAAGTTGCTTTTATCCAAAAGAAAAGAAGATAAAGACGGTAACACCATCTAGATTGCTGTGAAATTAGACAAAACGAATACATCAAGAAAATACCTGAGCTACGCAAGTACATGTGAACGAATCATGAGCGGGTACGTGATGCAAATTCCACTGCTCCAACACTGCATACCACGTTGATTAATAAATAATTAAGTTTTTGTACGTATGCCAATGTGTATGATACTATGCTAAAATTCTTTTTGGGCAAAATACATCAAAATGCAACCTGTCTTGGTCCCTATTTAGTGTAACGAATAATGTTTTTTCACAATCAATGTAACAGTTTTAAAATTTTCTACTATGTACCCATTTGTCTGGGACCATGCTAATCTTTTAATATTTGATGACATGGATGCCAAGTTGTCATAGTTATACTGATTGAAAAAATATACCGATGGATAGCACGTTATGAGTCAAAAATAAATTGATTGACAAATTGGGATCTACATCATCAAATATTACAAGATTAACAAGTTAACGGTAAAAAATAGGTAAGCCGTACGGACTTGGAAATTTTGGAACATTGTTCACTTACTGAGAAAAAAAATTATTAAACAAGAAAAAAAGCTAACGTGTTGCATTTTGATGCATTTCCCCCTTTTTTTCTCAAAATGATCAGTGCAAGCACATCAGATATGCATACAAGCATGCTAGAATACTTACAACAGATAACAGCGGCCCCTGTTTAAACTTGTCATGGAATGAAAAGGTTAGCGGCTTTGGATCATCTCCAGGCCCTCTGATGAAGCCGCTGTATCAGAAAGAATTAAATATCAGCTGAAGCTGCAAAGAGTTTATTTTCACTTAACGTTAATACCCCCAAGAGAATCTCCAATGGGATGATCTTAAACCTGGTGGACCGGTTCATAAATTTTTACACACTTTAGAGGAAGAGGTACATGCCAACGTAGAAGGGGAAAGGTTCATAAACATTTCTACATCAAAATGGTAGGACCCGATCCAATTAAATAATAGAAAATAATTAGAATTTAGGTCATGTTCAGGTTCATGGTTGAGGGTAGACGGCTTATAAAACGTGTAGAAAGAGAAATCTGATGTGAGATAGTCATGAACCTCTAAACAGGTTTATGACTGGAGATGCTCTAAGCAAACCAAATGATGAATAGCTAGAAACACATGGACAACAGAAGCATTATGTATGGCAGAAGAATTACTGACATTAATGATGGCGTAATGAGTGTAGCCCTTTTAACATCATATAGAGCGATCAGACCCTTGTACAGCTCGTTTCCATCTTTATAAGACACGGCCAAACGCTCTCCTGAAGCATCCCATGCTATCTTCTCAATACCTCCACTAGAATATCAATGACAAGAAACTTAAAACCGTCTATGCAATCAAATGATGAATATGAACCATGTATTACAAAGATAGATAAAGGTTATTTTATATCGTCTGCAGAAGATGATAAAACCAAACTAAACCCACAATATTCCACACAGGGATAGGGTATAGGGAGGGTAGGATGTACACAGACCTTACCTCTACCCAAGTGGTAGAGAGGTGTAGACCCCCAGCTTGCAAAATAAAACAAGAAACAGATTCGGTAAGTAGCACAGAAGTGTGTGCAAACAAGCAACATGCACAGTGCAATGAAACCAACGACTAAAGGAGAAGGAAAAATACATCTGGCAAGCAGTAAAAGCAGAAAGAACGAACAGTGCAATAAAACAAACTACTAAAGCAGAAGGATTACTATGTCCGGCAAGCAGTAAAAGCAGAAAAAACCAAGGTTGGCATACAGTAAAAACAAACGCTGAACACATAATAAAGTATCCCACAACTAATAAATAAGATATGGAAGGTATGAAAAACCATCACCGCCATCTATCTAGTTTTGAATTAGGTATTATCCATTATCCAGTCCACATATTACCAACTGCCTCATATTGGCCAACCTTGCTTACACTATAGACCAACAGCATAGGTTGGCTCTTACTCTTAATAATGGCCTAAGCCTTAACCGCATAATAGCAGACTTGCAGATAAATGGGAATCGCATTGACCATCATGTTTGGAGATCTACCCATGCACATATTATTGATCATACTCCGGCACTTTTCAATTCCTCTGCCTCACACAAGACAGCTTGGAAAGATAAGAACAGAAAACTAATGGATTTCCCAACCAATCAGGTATGGGAAATCTTATATGGAATGATGGAATAGAACCATTTTGTTTGGTTTAGCCAACGGATACCATGGCACCCCTTCATTCAATGGCTAGCCATCAAAGATAAGCTCATACTGTAAGATAAGATGATGAATAGGAGCACTAATCAAAGCCTTTTTCTCCCCTTTGTAATTACTCTCAAGCAAGTCATTCACACTATTTCAAGCTGTCCTTACTCCTCAGGCATGTGGAATGGACGGAAATAGCAGAAAGCAGGCAAGGGGCACCAAATGTTTGGCCACACCTACCTAAAAGCGAGGTCTAGAAAAAGAGGTATTTGCTACCCTCTGGCATGCCCGAACCGCACCGGTCCCATGGTCATCACGGGGGAGGTAAATCATGCATGCTGCCCATTGGCAGAGGAGCGGTGCCCAGGCTCGAACCCAATCCAGGACCTCACACCTATGGATTACACCCACACCTCTACAGCTAGGTCATATAAGTGAAGACTAAACCAAGGTGTAACGATTGGGTAGTTGAGCTATTGCTAGAAGACAGCTCCAAGGTGTTGTGGTCCACTTTTAATTGGCAGAAAAGGAACACAATAACTTTTAACAAGGCTAGAAAGGTAGAAGTTGTCACCAAGTTATCGTCCACATTGTTCGTGCGACTAACAGGATTAAAAATGAAGGATAATGATAACACTCTGGTTGCTGCAACAAAAACTGGAAGTCTCTTAAGTTGCCTATAAACAAGAAAGGGTGATCTCTTGGTAGGATAGTGTATGTTACAGGATGTTGGTTTTTGTGCATAGATCTATACGGGATGGATGTATAAAAATCCCTTGGGGATGAGGCATGGATGTAGAGCCTATTCCACATCCAAGTTTTGTTTTTGCCATCATCTATTCGACCCTCTTTTGCACGTCCATCTAAGAGTTTATATCATGGGATGGTTTTGTATATCTTCTCAATTTATCAATGATATTTTCCTTCAGCTAAGCCAGCCTTTCCAACAAGAAAAGATGCACTCACTTGAATTCTACATGAACACTATAGATGGGTGAGTAAATCAATGCTAATCTAAGTTACAAACATATCTGACGCGAATTCAGTTAGTGCCACCACTGAAATTCAACTACAGCTACCTCGTATCTGAATTCAAACTTTTGTCTATGAAGTTTGACTTGTGAATCCTATCAGAAGAATCAGCAGGATACTATTCTAATTCCTTTAAGTTAATCTAATTCAATGATGAACATGGTAAAAGGTTTGAACTTCTTTACCTAAAACAGATCACCATAAGTCACCAAATAGAATTATTCAGAATGTAACAACAATTTAACTAGAAAAACAAAATTGTATCCTGTCAACAAATATGGCCAGAAGCCGTGTTCTAGAAATCCCTGCTTAGAACTGTTTAAGTGGCTGTCTACGGGTTAAGCGTCCCATCACCCATTCAATTAGTAAATGCCACCTAAGGTTAAGCATCCTCGACCCCTTCATCAATAACTAATCATTGAACTAAGTATTTGTGTTCATCAATGAACTTTTGTCAAGGAATTTTCTTGATCCAATGATCAGAAAAATTGTACAAAAATGATATCATATTCTGGTATGTTTACATAATCTAAAAATAATTATTTGATGGAAAGAACTGCTTGTGGTCCTGCTTAAGCATTCTCTAGAAACCTTCTTAGGTGATCAGGGGCTAGAAGATCACTCGATCGCCTAGTCCCACTTAAACAGTTTTTAGAACATCAATATAATATGTTCTATACTTCTAAGGTTTATATTAAAAGTATTCAGAGTTGAATTGCTTAAAGATGTAAGGCTCCCTTTCCCCCTCTCTCTCTCCCACTCTATTTATATACATGGGATTAGGATGCTAATATATATAAAAATTATTTATTTAAGTATAGTCAACATAAGCTCAAACTTGAATTTAAACAAGCAAGTTCGTATTCAATAAAAAATCAAATATTCAGTCGAATCGGATATAACAATGTCTAATTCACATAAGATAACTGTAGGGTAAACACAAGTTTAAATCTGAATTTCTCATTGGTGACTGTTTAAGCTTTAAATGACAGATTGGAAGATACAAGGAAAACAAATCAACTTGATTGCACGATGCATGTACAACAGGAAATAGTAGATTTGTTCAGAAGATCGTTTATCAAGAAAATAACAAGTAATGCACTAATATAGATAACGAAAGGTAACTCTTGTGCCCTCTACCTGTTGGTCAAAGATTTCAGCTCTGGCAGGTCAACAGGAAACAGTTGTGCATCTGAGGAAAATCATCATGAAAAATGGGGAACATGGAATTTAGACTACAAAGGGTGGTGACATAGAAACAGAAAGTCAATGGAGTTGATTCTTAAGAAATACAAAACGAGAAAAGTTATTAACCAAAATTCTTAACAAGCTAGCCTCTCACACAACAAACGTATGCAAGAATAGAAGTCGGTGATACTTGGCAGTTGGCAACGCTTTTGGAAAAGTGACTATCCAAGGGACTTTGATACTTGATTAAGATCAAAGTCAAAGGCATAACAGCTAACAGGAAATCTTAATTTTAAATCAGTCGTTTATCAACCAAGCATCTATATTTGAATTTTGATTTCATTCATTTAAGCATGCCGAAATACGGTTATATACATTTTCATTGTAAGAAAGGGTCATTCGAGTTTATCTACATAGATACTATGTTTACAATATGGATCCCCAGAAAATAAAAGTTCCTGGTGATGAAACCTTAGAAATTTAGGAACGCATACCAAGTGATGGAGGCTTTGTAGCAAAATGAATAGAACCTAATGTTGACGATTCGGAGAAAGCAATAAGAATCATACGCCCATCAGGATCCCATGCTGCTCCCTGCATATATATATAAAAATATGCTTGGCTAAATATCAGGTGGACTCTATAAAAACATGTCAGAGATGAACGGGAGGATAAACCCTGAATATCATGTACAGAACATACTTCAAGTAGCGATTAGATTCCTTTATCTTAGGAAACAAAGAACTTGCAGGTAAGTGCTGGTTCAGCAGATAAGTGTTGATTTACAGTTGTAAACCTCCTAAAATAAGGCCTAATGCTCTGTAAATAGTTCTGCAAATAATCTAGAATTCACAATATATATATATATATATATATATATATATATATTGAAATAACTGCCGGTGTTTTAGAAAGTTTTAGGTAGAGGTGGATGGCTGTATTGCCTTCTAGCATTTAATGGCTCATAGGGGATTAAACTCATGCCAGAATGGACACATATTCATTTTAATATACGCAACATAATCATTTAGATCATGCAAGCATATGAGAATTAAAATTTTATATTATGCAAGCATATGAGAATTAAATATTTAGATTATACAAACATAATAGGGATTTGAGGAACTAGATTAGTATCCGTGGTCACAAGCATATCATAAACTGTTTTCAAGGCAGCGTTGATTTGTGCACCAGGCAGGATTTTTTAACCTATGCTGTGCAAATCATAAGATAGAAAAAGATCTTATAAATTATTATTTTAAATGGAATACTTTTATAAACCCTAAATGCTACCTCAATTAATATAAATATCAACCAAGAAATTAGTAGGTACCAGATTATGCATCAGTTTCTCAACAGCCACAAATTAGTGAAATTATAAAGCAAAGTGAAGAGCATACAGCGACAGGTTAGAGTGACAGTAACATGCTTAGAATTATGAAGTTAGGGAAACATGAAAGCATACTTAAAACGCCTCCAACTTACCATAAGATACAACAATTCAGTATTACCTATTTACACGAGATAGAAAATATTGATATGTAATGAAAACTTCGGGAAAATAATTACTAACAGTGACAAAGCCACTTGTTGAAGACCATGGTTCTGATGTCCATGTGTTTGTCTCCCACAGATAGAATGTTCCATCACTGCATAAGAATATGATAATCGCTTTAGGTCCAAACGTTTGATATCTCTCAAAAATATCAGCTGAATAGGTCGGACTAATGATGGTAAATGACATTACAACTTTGCTGCAAAGAAATAATCTCCGGTAGGAGACCATTTAAGCAATGATATGCTCCCTAATCCTCGCCGAATGGGTGTGCCCACCCCTGTAAACAATACAACTCAATAAGAATTGCATATATGAAAACTCAATATGTGGAGACAGAACATTGTTTTGTCATAGTGGCTTTATAAATTCTGAGACTCACCAATAAAGGCAAGAGTATCATAGCTGGTGCATTTAGTAACAGATGAATTATAAGCCCCTCAACTTATTATGTGTGAAAATAGAAGTACACCTTCAATTTCCTTTTAATAAACCAACAAGTGCATAGCCAAATTTAATTTTATGAGGTATATTGAATAATTCAACATGCATTATGTATACCTTGAGCAACATCCCATATGGTGAATGACGAGCTCTCATATGAGGCAGATGCTACATATGTGAAGATAGGTCAAGGAAACGATAATGAGTGCATACTACAACACTTAAAGAAAAAAATGATGTGAAATTCAAATTCTCAAGGAGCAGATATCAACATCAATAAACGAATCAAAATAACACCGAATAAGAGAATCAGCATGCAAGGGTTAATAGTGACCCCTATATCTTTATCTAACTCGTAACTCTACAGAAAAAAAAAAAGCTACTTAGGATATCTTCCATCCGGACTCCATGACAGTGCACTTATTTGTTCGTCACCATGACTTCGTAGAAAATCCACTAGAGTCCATCTAACTCCAGAACCTCTAGAGAGGCTGCCAGAGTTAATTCCAGATCTCATACATGCGCTATTTCCAAGATATGAAGCAGACCAAATGCAAATTCCACCCCTGTTTGTACCATAAGAAAATAATAACGTTAGACATATATCATATCGGTTAAAGATACCTCAAAAAGACAACGACAAAAAGCCACAGGAATGACAACAGAAAAATCAGTGCAATGAATCAATATCAAATATACTAACTTGCAGGCTACTGAAAGTGTCTTCCCCGCATTTGGCCTCCATTCCAGAAGTTTAACTTCCCTTTGAAGATCATTCATCAGAACACAAGGGTCCTTTCCCTCTCCTGAAGAGAAGGCCATAGCATAGATGAAAAGGAGAACGACCATGTGACATATTCATACCTCAAGATCACAATAAAAAAATGTGGAACCAAATATGAATCCACAGAGTATAGCAAAAGTACTTATTTGCTTACTCAATTCAATATACGTTGCTCACCTGAATCTCCATAATCACGAATGGTTACTTGATTCCGTGCAGAAACAAATGCCAAAATATCTTTTTTCTGGTGCCAACTAAGACATCGGAGATCAACATTCGGCAATAATCTCTCCTACAAATTTTACCATCACAGAAAAAAAAGTTAAGCCTCTCACAACTTACGCATGAGATCATGTTTACAATTAATAACCAAAAATATATGAGAATCAAATTTATATATTGCATTCCCCATGCAGTAACCAAAGATGAGCTTCTTTGATTTGTCAAATACACCCTATTGTGCTAATCAACAATTTCCAGATTGATATATAATTTTATATACTTCTTACTGTTTATAACTTTTCTTTAGTTCGTTAAGCCAGCTTTAATATGATCTTCAAACTCGGACATACACTAAAAAATGAACTACAGAAATAACAAGATCAGTGTCGTGTTTAGCCAAAATCCAGAAGTTACAAAAATGATTCATTTTCACATCATCCATACCACTCAGATATAAATCCATAGATAGAAAAGTGTGAACTATAGGAGATAAGTGCAACCTATCAAAACTGTAGAGATAAAATTGTTGGTCCTCGGTCATCACTTTTAAGTGTAATGCCATTTATCTTGCTTCATTTAGGTAATAAATATTTTCTCACAATTATCTCCCATGTCCAAGACACATCTACATTTTCATTTAGGACCTCTTGTGAACTCGATACAGAGGGAAGGCAAATGCAGCCAAGTGAACCAAGGGAGAGACTTCCACAACTTTGGAAATGGAATGGGAGCAAATATCACATCACAATTCAAACTGAGCAGGAATTAAAGCAAACATCATGATTCTTACGTAGCTCCGATCCCATTCCAGACCATGGAATCATACTTCAAATACTATCTTACTGAAATCACATCCACTAATTTATGTGAAGTGAACCCTAACTCAAGCATAATCATAAATAAACTACTATACTTTATAAGAAAATTTATGAGATGCTTACATCATCAGAACCAACAAGGTTTTTAAGTGGACCATAAGAGACAGCTTGAAGTAACCCCCACAGACGGCTCACCGGAGATTCTACGCCTCTATCAGGACTTTGCGACAGCGGATAATCTAACTGATACGGAATTGCACTGAAAACTACTCCCTAAATGTTACAAAACGTCAAACTTCCAATTGCTGATGGTAATCAGTTTTTTCAAAACACACCCAGAAATAAGAGATGGACAACTTACAAGAATTTTTCCATAAGTCTCCTTTGCTTGATCGTCGGAAAGACTTTCGGCGGTAACTGGTGATTATTCAAAAAACAGATGTTGAAATGCGCACATGATAAGTGATTCCATGTAAAAAAAAATTAGAAAATAAGCCATTACGGATTACAGGAGTAATGGAGGGAAGCCATACTCAGGTCTCTGTTAATCTCGCATACGGTAACCGAGCCTGGCTGAGGAAACGATGGCATTCTTCAAGCTTCTGGAATTGAAGTTTGCTGTGGGAGATGGTGGAGTAGGGCTTGTTGATGTAGCAGCAAATTTCCCACCTTTCTCACACATTTTCTTTCGAGTTAATTATACAAATGGTCCCTCAATTATTGCTTAGATTCTAATTTAGTTATTTCAGTGCAAATTAGGTACAAAAGTTTAGTTAGGGGCCGTTTATCTGAATGCTTATCCGGTAAGTGTTTATTGTTATGAGTCAACACTATAATTTATTTTTTAGGTAAGATTGTAGTATATCAAAATGGTATCGTATGCAACAATATATGTGGTAAGCGCTTACCAGGGTAAGAGTCGTCACCCTCACTTACCGGGTAAGAGTCGTCACCCTCACTTACCGGGTAAGACTCTCTATCTTTATCAATGTTCTTATCAAGTAAAATTCTTGGGTCTTGCCATGTTCGTCCAGTGAGAAAAATTGTCCGGCAACGACGCATGTTTGTAACAACAAATCTCTATTCAAGAACTACAAGGAATTACAAGAAGGATATGAAGTGATAATGGGCGATAATCATACTTCAAAAGTCCTCAGAGTGGGTTCTATTGAATTAGCATTCACTTATGGGGAAAAAAATTATACTCAAAGATGTTCTTCACGTTCCTACTATTATGAAGAATTTGGTTTTTGACTATAAGTTGTGTAGAAATGGTATAAGAGTTGTTATAGCATCTAATAAAGTGATTCTATCTAAAAGACCTTTTTAAACCTAAATTTAGCGGTTTATCTTCTCCAATCGACCTGTAAAACGACAAAAAATTTGCCAGTGACACAGAGAGAGAGAGAGGGGACGCGACCTCCATATTTGGAGGGGGTACTCTTTACATGCCAAGTTTAAAAAAACCCAACCTTGAGGTCCTGAGGGATGTGGTGGAATATACCATCTGTTAAGGGTTTGTATTTTGACGTAAACAATAATTGTGTCCATTAGTTTATCAAAACTGATTTCTTATAGCCATAATTTACTGAGATTAGTCCGAACATAGACTAAAAGACCTTTTTAAACCAAAGGGCCTTTGGCCTAGCGGTTTCATAGCCTTTGGCCTTCTAAGAGGTCAGGGGTTCAAACCTCACCATAGGTGATGAGAGTGTGTGTGTTTATTTGTTGCATTTGCTGTATATAAATATTATATACTTCAAAAAAGAAAAAACTTTTTAAATTTGTTTTCTTCAAAAAGAACCCAGGCTCACCATTTATCTTGATTTTGTTATTTATTTATTTCTACGGGGTATTTTGAGCTTATTTATTTGAAACAACTTATATTTTTTTTATAAAAACACTTATCAACTTATTATAAGTCAAAAGACTTTAATTTCTTCAAAAACTTCTTATTACCGGTTTGACACCCGTATAAGGGACTGTTTACCAAATTTTTTATTAAGTCCTGGATGGATAAATTTGTCTGTCAGGATAAATTTGTCTGTCTGGATAAATGAGTGTTGTTGTTTATTTTTTTATGTGAACCAACAGTCTGAATAACATAAATGACCGATTTACCCCTCAATATTAATTATTTGAACATCAAAACAAAAAATCATAAAGAGGCCGAAGATGGGTGTCTGATATGGGAAGGAGGCGGTGCTTTAAATAAGGGGTAGGGGTATTATTTTTGTGACTGAATGGGAACAACATACCATTTCTATCTATGCGATTAAGCCTTGTTTTGTACGAATAAGCCGTAAGTAAACAACCCAAAAAAACTGTACGAATAAGCCAAATAAACCTATAAATCTAATTAAGCCCAAGTAAATAATCCCTAAATTATTTATTAAAACATTCAAAAATGTTTATTATCGATGTCCTGTATAATTCTATAGCTTATTTTTATAGCAACCCCAAACACCATTTGAATATAAAATATGTTATTTTAATCCGAAGGACACTGAATTTGGTGTTTTCGAATGGTACCGATGATCAAACAAGTTCGACGGATCCTGCGATCAATCTAATAAGTACCCAATTCTTCCGTCTCTCACCGGCAATCTGATAGGCTCTCTTCCATGGACACTGCTGGAGTTCTTGTGAGGCCGATGGCATAACAACAGTCAAAACTAACACAACAGCTATCATTTCAGGCATGTCTTTATGTTACCAATCCTCATAAACCTTGTTTTTACATTAGATGAAGAAGGAAATGGATTATATTAGAATTTGGCTGAATAAACCCTATCAGATTTTTTTTGGGTAGAAAGGGTTCAAGGCATGGAGCTTTGCATTCTAACCCTTGAAAATTTAGGAATGTTCTTCTACTTCTTCGGCTAAAAATCGATACAGTCCGTTTGAAAATCGATATGAATTTTGTTGCATTACTATTATTTTCTTGTGGTGCCTTTTATGAACTTTGATGGGGTTAAGAGTTATTGCTGGAAAGAAAATTATAACTTTAGCTTAATCTTGAATGTGAATTAGAAAAAAGACCAACGTTAATGTAGAAGGTCGGTTTTTACCCTTTTTGGTTCGAATTTGAGGGATTGGATTTAACCAAAAAATAGTGGCTAAATCAGTGATTCTAGTGTCTTAAGGCTGCCCTTTTTGCTCAGAAACTCAACCATGGAGGGACTTTTTTCTTCACAATTGCACAGCCGACCACTCCTCTTGATATTGATCTTTCGCTTGATCAATTAACACTGTGGAAACATCCTTTTGTGACCTATATTTGATGAACCATTTAATCAAGAAAATAACCAAATTCATTTTTGGGTACCTCAGTTTCAATTTGCTTCTGTAGTTTCACTGTATGGCCCATAAATTTGATCCCACAATGATTAGTACAATTTAGAACATCTTATTTGTTCTTTATTGGAACCGATGTACTCAGTTCATTTGACATCTTTGTCAAAAGGATGATGATAAATAACCAATTGTTGATACTACAACTATGTGGCCAAGGACTCTCCAACTGTCCAACAGCTTTAGACGGATATAGATCAGAAGCACAAGCACCCACTTTCATCATCTTCAGAGCTTCCTTCACCTCTCACAGATTAATCTACATATACACCTTTGATTAGTGTTGTAATTTATCAACCATCAAGAACCTTATTGTTCTCTTTCATCTATCATTGATAATCTTGATATATATATATATATATATATATATATATATATATTAAAACCGCAATCCTATTTTAACTCTCACAAGTATGACAAGAAGTGATTGAAGTGTCTTCGCCACATCTATTTTGGTTGAATCAAAATAACCCCTCAATCATTCTTTAACCTCATCTTGTGTGGCTGCAAGTCTTTAATCCTCATTAAGGGTGCATTTGATGCAACTTGCATAGTTTTTGTTTCCTTGATCTCAGCCAACTAAAATGCATAAGTGGTTCACTCCTCATGTTGCACATGGTTTCTTCCACAACTCCTTATCTTCTTTGGATTTAGCTTTACATACTTATTCTTTTCTAATTAGCTCATGCTACCTCCTTTATATACTTAGCTTCCCTTTCGGTTAGTTTGTACTTCTTGCCGCCCTCTTCATTCTTACAGTTGTATGGGAGTTTATATGGTGTCTTGTTCTCCTTGACAACCTTTCACACCTTCCCGATTCCCACCAAGTATTTTTTTAGTTTGATCTCTGGAAGTTCTACTCTTTTAGCCACTGGATTTGCTATTCCTTCAATGCCATTGTCATTGGTTTCCATATCTTAACCAATTGAAGGTCCTTTAGTTGTTCGATTCTTGAACATGGTTATGTTATCTTGTGTTAGGTTCCACTCCTAGTCACTAGATGTATACCACCTTTATCCTATCTATGCTTAATGTGGATGTTTGTCACTAAAATCCTATGTTGTCTGACACTGCCATTATGCACTCCCTATGTATTGTTGTAATCACATGAGTTCATTTCCTGATGGGTTGTCAATTTGGCTAGTATTCCGTAAGTGGCAACTATGACATTGCACTTCTTCCAACCCAAAACCTCCATGAAATTTCCAAAGCATCTATTACCGATATCTAGATGGCCATTAAGGGGCCGTTCACCAAAAACTTACCGGGTAAGCGCTTACTGGGTGTCACTTACCTTACCGAGTGAGCATGGCAAAGACCTATAATCGTACCCGGTAAGAGGCTTATCAAGGATCGAGAATCTTACCGGGTAACTAAGAGAAAAGAAAGACCCTTACCTGGTAAGCGCTTACCGGGTAAAAGACCCTTACGGACAATCCATTTTGATGGCCGACAATGTTACCAGATAAGGTAAGTGAAGGTGGTGGCATCTGTCAGTATGCGCTTACCTGATAACGTTTGGTAAACGAAGCTCAAGACTTATTACCGGTTACCTTGTTTTTGCATCAACCGGTTTCTATCTAGTGACTTCTATCATAAATGATCTTTTGTAGATTCTAGGAATACACACAAAACATATTCAAGATTACTCCCTCCTCTACTAATTGGCTAACATGATTATATATCTTTGGCATATGTCTCAACTACGTCATTTCTTATGGTAGTGTATTGTAATTTGTATGTCACTCCAGGGCATAATTTCCATGAATACCATAACTTAATATTCAGTGTGCTTGATTTCCTTTCATCTCTCCTGTAGTTTCTTGAGCACTTATAATATTCATTCTCCTTCTATTAGGGTATGATCTAACTTTTTTATCTTCCTTATTGATGACCTTGCATTTCAACTACAAATGACATCCTACTCCCTGCACCATCCTTTGAAGTAGAACTACACATGTTGATTTCTCCTCAAAGCTTGTGTCAGTTTTTATGTGTAACTAAGGGAATGATGATCTAGATCCTGCTCACTTCTATAAATATGTGGTGGGGAGTCTTTGTTTGTGACATCCAGGATTTGATATCCTCAAGCTTTTTTCACGAACTTTCTTTCTTTCACATGCCGATGGTCTTCAAGGGAACAACTGCTCTACTCTTTGGGGTAGTGGTTAGGTCTGTGAACGTCTTACCAGAGACCCAAAGGGACATATTGGATTCATTTGGTTTGGTTTATTCATGCCATTGTGTAACTCATCATTAAAGTTGTGCTACCAAACCCGTGGTTGCTAGTGTGTATGCACTCATGTTTATCATTGAATTTTAGACACACTAGTTTGGGTTTTGGTATGTCTCATCGGTAAGAGGGTTTATCATGTATTTTAGACACACTAGTTTGTGTATACACTTTGACCATTTAGTAGTAATTTTCCCAGATTGGATATTCATAAATTTGATGCATGATCTTGTAAAATTATTGGTGCTACATGTACAACATCAAGTTTCTAGTTCAATATGTATTGGTGACTAAGGTTTTTTTTAAAAGCAACAAATTCATTAAAAGAAAAAGCCAAATTACAAGAACATGGAAGATTCTTTCAGCAAGATGCAGAAAGCAAAAAAACAACTAAAAACAACATGAAAGAGGAAGAGATCTGAAAGCAGTGAAACGAGCAACCTAAGCAATTGCCCCCTAGATTGTAACACCAATTTGGTCAAGAGTAATTGAAATCTTTTGCACGATTAGAAAGCCAATGATACGATAATATGATGATAGCTGGATATCGAAAGCCAAATCAAAATGTCGGGTTGACCGATCTGAAAACACCATTTGTTACGAAAACTCCAAATCACTTAGATGGTGGTCCACAAAACAGCTTGCCAAAATCCTTTTGAAGAAAGAAGAGTGAAGGTCAAAGCCAAGTCAATCCAACAACGACTGAACTGGGATCCTGCCTTGTCTTAGACGCCACATAAACATGCATACTTTCTTTGGAACAAGCTTGCACCATTTAGTTTTGACTATTTGAGATGAAGATCCAAGAGAATTTTTATTCACCAACTCCTTGAGCCCTTAACTGAAAACCCCCTATCCTCCCAAGAACCACACCCGGTTATCTCTCTCATTACTTAAAGGGCTAAAAATATGCACCATGCCCTCTAACTCCGTACATTACCTGAAGCTCTCCCTCTAGGAAATCTACACCATCCCTCCACTCCAGCCTATTCCTCACTGAAATCTCTTTAACCCCCTCTAAACTAAATAACTTTGGGTATTTATCGCGGAACTTGAAGTTGCCCAACCACTTGTCCATCCAAAACGACGTAGAATCGTCACCGCCTAATCTTTTGCCAAACGACCCTCTAAAGTTAACCCTAACTCTCTCTAGGTCCCTTCCAACACGAACAATGCTTCCCCACGTCCCTCTAAACGGTCTAAAGCTCTGTTCACCTCCCCTACTAAACCCCGAATCACCGACACCACCCTCCGCACCGAATATACTCTTCACTTCCCTTACCCAAAAAGTGTCCCCATCTACCTTGAAACGCCACCACCACTTCCCAATAAGACCCCAATTTGAAGCCCGAAGACTTTCGGCATTAAGCCCCTCCAAATTTGAACAATTTAATGTAGTATCCCATTTGACCCAAGGATGTTTCCATCCTCAGACCCTCCGTAGAAAAATCCCTCACGTTTTCCAGAATATGAAGGACTCGAGCCAGGGCACGAAATAGGGAGAACTAATACAAAGACAAACTGTGGAGAACATAGTTGATTAGCATTAGTCTTCCTCCAAAAGATATCGATCTAGATTTCCAAGCTGCAATTTATTTTTGAACTTTTCAATTATTCTGTTCCAACTATCAATATTGTTCATACATCTAGTGATAGGGATTCCGAGGTATGTGAAAAGTAACCTTCCCAAACAACAATTAAATCTTCTAGTTTGCAACACGAAAGCCGAACAACTTATTCTATGTCATGTTCATCTTTAACCTGGAAGCCATCTGAAAACATTTTAGTAGACCCATCAAGTTTCTTATATTGGTGACTAAGGTCTACCAATGCAGGAGGGGCTTGGGTCTTCTTTACCCACTCTTTTCTCGTCTCTCTTCATGACATCTTCTAGAATCAATGTTCACCCTTTTTCCAAATTCAGTTTTCAGGTATCACTAAATAGAACGTGTTTCACTGCTTTCAAACATCATTCTAGACAAACAGGTCACCGTAACTCTCATACTCGAATATTTCTCTTTCATGTTTCTTTTTTCATCTTGGTACATATGCTGAACTCGGACGATCGTATTTGACATTGTAGGAATCTTGTTACAGAAAGCTTCTCAAGTGAAGAGAACCAGATAAGAGGCGCCCATTTATCTTCAGAGGAAAATGAAAGATCAGAGTGGTTACGTACCACCTCGTTACATTCCCCTGGGCCAGTCAGATCTAGAGACAAGTATACTTTCTAACACTGATGAATCTCCCACACAGAATGAAAGCAGTAGTGATGTCCCAGTTCAATGGTCCTCTGGAATATGTGCTTGTTTTGATGATCTACAAAGCTGTATGTTACCTTCTTCCTTTCACCTTGGTTTTTCAGAAGTTAATGGAATGTGCATTTGTATGTTGTTGCTTGCTCCTCACTCGCTTTTTTTTTTGTCTCAAATGTTTATTTAATTTTTTTTTTTGGCAAACTTTCTCTTTTTAGCAAACTTTTCACAAGTCAGGGGTGTTCACGGAAACAACCGCTCCATTCTTTATGGTAGAGGTCAGGTCTGCATGCATCCCCCACCCCCCTAGATCCCACCTCCGGGTGGATATATTGGGTTCCTTTGGTTTGGTTTGGTTTAACGGAATATGCACTTGAGTAGGCTAAGTATTGTTGAGTTCTTAGATACTATATTCGTGCACCCACAATATTACTATCTTAAATTCATGAACATGCATATAAAAGGAAAAAAATGCTTTTATTGTTCTGATAATTGATGAAAATTAGGCAAATAATGTGTTAATACTACTGATAAAACTAACACATGTCCAATGAGCAGTGTATTAGTTTTGTTTAGTTAGGAACGTAATTCACAAATAATCACAAATACTATTATATACATATATTATATCACGATTTTCTTCATATATTGGGTATTTTTCAGATACCCACATCACCTTATAACGGATATGGATGACATAAGTTGGACACGTTCAGATTGATATTTGGATTTTTGAATATCCATTAACAAATTTTCTGATGAAAACACATAGGTGGGGCTTGTTGGGTAAGAATTGTCAGACTGGTATATGCATTCTGAATCGGCCAGAGGTAATATTGCTTCTTAAAAGGAATTTAATTTTGATTGGTTAAGACACCAGTGAATCGGCGGTGAAGGGTATTCAGCAATCGCGCCCACCCTGCACTCGTCATGTGCATACCCTGTACTCACTGAATCTGCACTGAGTGATACCCTTATTCCTCGGGCCTATGTTTCTCTGGACTTTTCTTTTCCGTTTTTCTTCCTTGGGCTTATTGAAGTTATTATTTGTTGAAAATTGAAATTGTGATGATAGGGATCTCGAACAGATCCTTAATTGAAAATTCAATTTCAAGTAATAATACAAATGGGTGAAGAACTAAATTAGGATAAAGAACTTACCAAAACGTGAAATGCTGCATTTTGCAACCCAACATATTATATTGAGTTTGACTTTAATGCTTTTGTTGAAAGTACTTTAGATTGATAAAATGATAATTTTCTATCATTCAGATTATCGGTTCAAAACACTTGTCAAAGATTCATTTTTTATTCACAACCAATTCCAGATAAAACCTATAAATGTTCGGTCACTTTTATCAAATCAAACAGACCCATAAGTATGCAAGTTCTCTTATTTTTGTTTTCATCCCTACCCCCATTATTGTTTTGCCTTTATCAACACGGTTTAGATCTAAGATCAAGTTTCCAGCCATGTTTTTACCTGCGTTCATCAATGTTTTTAATTGTTGCTTCTGACTGCTAACACAAAGGTCAATGCTTTCATTTCTTCTTAGGCTCCGTTGGTACGATATGTCCTTGCTTTCTTTTTGGAAAGAATGCAGAAACTCTAGGATCTGGCACATTCATGGGATCATGTACAACCCATTTTATCATATGCGGCCTTATCAATTCCTTTTGCTGCTTGGTAACGGGAGGCGTGATTCTAGGCTTTCCTGGATGCTTTGCTGCATGCTATGCCTGTGGATACCGCAAAGCACTACGCACAAAGTATAATCTGCAGGTATGCTTTTTCCTCCTTTTTCTAATGCTTAAAAGAATTTCGGGGCTCTTTACCAACACAAATTGGGTAAACGCTAACTGGGTAAATGCTAACTGGGTAAGTATGCAGTCTGGGCAAACGCCGACCGAAAATGGTTGTTTACCAAGTGTTTTGTAGCTAGTGCTTACCGATAAATACCTTTTTCATCTTGGTGGTCAGATGAGTCTTTGTGTAAACTAGCTGATGATCGAATCAACACCGGCCAGCGGTAGGTAAACAGAACCCTTAATGTTTAAATGGTTAAGTGCCAAAAAATTGCAGGATTGGCGTGCTTCGGCTAACTCAAAATCTATCCACTCATTTTCAGTTTTTGAGATCTCACAAACACATAATGCACCTTGTTCCAAAAAACAACTGTGAATGAGTTTTCTGACCGATCTTATATGTTATTTCATTGCAAACAATTCATTACAGTATGCCACAAAGAGTGATTCTAACCGTCATACTTTTGGTTTGCTGCAAATTAAGTGTTGGAAATTGTGTAAAGTTGCTCACAATGACACACTTCCGTGTTACTTTTGCATTTTAACAAGTACAATGGTTAGTTTGGAACGAAATAATAAATAAGATGATTAGAGAACTTGGTCACTCATATATAAGATGTCTCGATCTTCTATATACGAAATTTAAGGGACTTGTTCTTATGGAGATTCCCCTCCTGTGGTTGCAGTTTTTTAACGAGTTGGGTGGCTGAATAAATTAACGAGACCACCCTGTGGTTGCATAGGGGATCCAACTCGTTAATTTATTCAATGACCCAGCTCATTAATTTTAAAAATAAGGACAGGATTTGTTAATAATATCAAACCACAGGGACGAAAAATGTAATTCACTCAAAAGAAAAAGATGAGATTTTGTGTTTTGGTTCCATCTGCAGTGGGTTTATATATTTGTATTAGCTATATTTTTAGAATTGATACAGATTTTCCTTTCTTTCAGCCATATTGAGAACAGTTTGCTCTGATTCTTCAGCAACTTTTTTTTAATCTTGCATGAGTAAATATATATGGTTAATTATCAATGTCATCATCACCCTCGCCATTTTTTTTGAGGAAGAGTGCGATTATGAGGAGAGGAATGCGTATTACGTTAACATATTTTTATATTGAATTATAATGAGTTTTATGGTAGCTATAGATTTGCCCATTTCTCAGGGAATTCTTATATAATCTCCATGTGATTTTTCCAAAAATGGTTTCCACATAAATGTATGTATGGTTTTCTTTTCATCTGAATTCTGTGGTTTCAAACTTTGTGGCAACCTTTCTAGGCCAATTTTGTTCTCACATACACTTTTCAAAAGCCAACGATCTTCATGGAAACAACTGCTCTACTCTATGGAGGAGAGGAGTAGAGGTCACGCCTGCGTACATCTATCCTTCCCAGACCCTACCTCCCAGTGGTATATACCGGGCTAGTGTGGTTTTATTTGAATTCTGTAAATTGTCATCACAATCATCACTCGAGGGTTCTTATTTCCAAGATTTGAAATTCACTTAGGTAGGATTCGCTTACAGAAAAATCGTTTGTTATGGTGCAGGAAGCTCCGTGTGGGGATTTTATGACGCACCTTTGCTGCCATTTGTGTGCGGTATGTCAAGAATACAGGGAAATTCGTGAAAGGTCTGTGGACATCAACCCACATGCAAACATAGTAGAGGTTACAGCTCCTCAGGTGCAGACAATGGATTTAGCTGTGCGGAAATAACCTTATCTAGCCGTTATATATCTATTGTGTTCTTTCTTTGTTCTCTTCATTCACAAATAGAATCTTGTCATTGTAAACGTGATTGTAAGGTTCATCTTTCATGCGACTTTTAGATACATTAGTTGTTGACTGTATCAATGTGGGTGGGTTCGGGATTTACAATATCTAGTGGTCTTTCTTGTCTTTCGCTTTTGGTTTAGGAGCACAGGTGCACAAAGGAATGTCTTACGCTTGGTCCTACAACCTCAGAAGTTGAAAACCTGGAGTGATTGGAGCTTTCACCGGTTTAACTTTGTTCTTCCTGTTTTCAGTTGTCGTATACTCGTATGCATGCCCAGATTTTTAGGAATAATAGGCTTGTCTTTAGGATTAGTTTGTGTGGTTTTGAATGTTTCTTGTTGGTTACAACCATTATGCTGTAGTGGGTTGTTCTTTGAGTTTTCAGTTAGTTGTAAGGTTATATTATATATAGCCAAGTATTGCTTCAATGAAGGACTTTCACCGGCTAAGTTTTCATTGTTTGTCAATCATCAAATCTTCTAATCTGATATACAATCTCCTCCTATTTGAGATGACAAAACCTATGCTATAAAGGATAAAACACTTGGATAGAAGAATAGAACTACAAACAAGGTATGAAAGTTGAACAAGTTCAACTACTGATTAGTACATGACCGTGTTGAAATCTTTTGAGTTCTTTTGGACTGAATGGGAAAAAAATAACATTCATCTCAGATTGATATTTCATTACATTACAATCACTTGAAGTTGAAAATTATGTAAGTTCAGAAGTCCTCTTCTTTAACAAATAGGGAAGGTCTAACAGAGGAAGATCCAGATGATGCTAGACCTTGTTGAACAGCTTCTTTTCTAGACCAGAGGATCTACTGATTTTCTTCCTAGAACCTTGCTCTAGAAATGGTTCCGATGTTGATAATGGGGAGCAAGGACTCCAGATGATCTGAAGGCACAAGGAAAAGATCCTTGTATCTCATGTACCTCCTCCAATAGGTTGTCATAAAAGAGACTAGCATCAAGACCAGAGCTACTAGAGAGTTATTGATCTTCTAGAAGCTTCTTCCTCAGCTTATCATCATTGGTCAAATGCTTCCTCATCACTTCTTCGTTTGAGTCAGTAGTAACCTTCAGAGAGTTGTTCTTGCATTCGTTGTAGATCTTTTAGAGAGTTATTCTTGCATTCGTTGTAGATCTTTCCTAGTGTTCTGTCATGTTAAACTCCTCTATCAACTGATCTGCATCCATGAGAAAGGATGATTTATATGATGCAACAATAAGGTCAATAGATGCGGCAACCGGAGGAATAACTGAAATGAATGAAGCAGGAAAGACAGGGTAAGAGCAAGAACTTGAGAAGGTCTAGGAGTTGGTGTTTTTCCTTTGTCCCCCTTAGATGTTGAACTTATCTCCTATTTTTGGTATCATCGGGGGTTCGAAGTGTCGTAAAGGGTTTGTGTGGAGACAAGGTTGAGGATGGTGGTGGCAGGCCCTGAACCAGCTTGTTCAGGCACAATACATTTCTTTTTATATCATCCCTGTTAGATAAATGGTTATTGATGAATTCCACTAGCAGGGAGGGAGGTCTGTGCAACTTCAGGGGCAACCATGAGAAGCTGGACTACATGATGGACACAGCTGGAACACATGCTTCTGGCAGTTGTTGAATCTTATGCAGCGGCTGAATGGCATTGTCCAACTTTGAATGCATCGAATTGATAGTGTTGAACATGTCATATATCAAAAAGTTCTGTCAGTTATCTCTTTTTTTCTTTTCTTTTCTTTTCTTTTGTAGCTCCATCGCTAGTATCTTCTGGTTCATGCTGTTAAGGGCCTCCATTGATATAGGCATTACTATGATCCCCCTCAGCATCTTCATCTTCATCTTCATATTGGGTACTCTTCAACCGATGAGGATAGAGGACTTTGATAACGCCGTTTTTGGCGTTATTTTTGTACCACTTTTCCAAGCACATGAAGTGTTATTCTGAAAGTTTATTACAAGTTTATACATAATTCTTGCACATAAGTACGTAGAGAGAAGTGTTGAGAAGCATATATGAGAAGGAGAGTTCTCAGCTATTTATACTCTATGCATTTAATGCACCTCAGAGGTTACAATCCACGTGTCAAGAGGAGAGTGGAATGCATGTCCTTGTTCATCAGATATAATAGTCTTTTGGCTGCATATGAACAGTTGTCTAAAAGAGTTGGTGAGCACGTTTTGGAGACAAGAAAATAATCTGTACTGTACCTTTGCCGGGTTGAGGCATGGAGTATGTACCTTTGTGCAAGAGAATAAGACAAAAAAATATTGATGGGCAAGATATGGATCCAGCTGTTGGAAAGAGTCGTCGGGGACTTCTTCAGGTATAACTAATAACTTGGTCAAGATTCAAATTTGATGTAGATGGTAATGGTATCACTGAACACCGCTTCAGATCACGAGTAAACTATCTTTATCTTCAGCTACTTCTTTGACATCATTGAAATTTTCCTTGATGTGACTTTGCCTTTGAGATACTTAAGCTCTAATACAGTTACATGTGTTCAGCGATCACTGAACACGCTCAGTTACAAACTGATCGTTGAAACTAGAATATAAGTTAAAGTTTTTCACTAAGTAAAAGATCATCATCAAATTACTGAGAGAATTCAGATCAACAATCTCCCCCTATTTGATGATGACGAAACAACAAAAGAAAATCGCTAAGTATAAAAACAGAAAGGAAATGAAACTCATAAAATACTTTGTCCCATTTACTGTTTTTGAGGGATCTTTTCAGCACTTAGATAGATAGAAGTACTTCAGTTATAAACTTCCATTAATTGTAAAAGAAAGATTACAAGTATTGAAAAGTGAAATACGTAACTGAAATTACATAGCTGAAAAATCTAATAATTGATAATACAAAAGATAAGAAAAGAAAATGTATCTATCAACTAAGATCATCAAAGGTGATGTAGTAGGGAATTTCCGATCCTTGATTTCTTCTCTTCAGCAGCTCTCTTCGAATTTTTCTGTCCACAGACTGACAGAGAGAGTGGAAACATCACAATAGGTAAGAAGGAAGACTAAGTGATCATCCGGTGCCATATAAAACTCTGAACCTTGCTAAAATCGAAGTATTTTTTTTAAGTATATAATATTTATAGTCTGATAGCCCGCCCTATCTATCCGCGCGATGCAACAAATAAACTCACACACCCTTCTCACCTATGGTGAAGTTTGAACTCGTGACCTCCTAGAAGGTCAAGGGCTACGATACCGCTAGGCCAAAGGCCCTTTGGTCGTTAAAATCGAAGTTCCCGATTAACATTTGTGAAAAAATGGCATACGTCTTTATTCCTGCAATAAAAAAACCATACGTGACGGTCGATGTAATAAATGTAAAGGGTTGTTTATTTACCTCTTAATAGTTCTATTAAGAGGCACTCTCTAAATCGTTAAAGGTGAATCTTGTTTGACAAAAAAAAAAGTTTGTCTCTTAATGGTTCTAAAACTCTTTAAATGATTTTGTATCATGAGTTTCCCTTAACCATTCAACGCCCTATTTTCGTTGTAAATAATTACCAAACAATTATATTTTATTTTGCACTATACCATGAGAGTCTCCTAATCATTCTGACCACTTAATCATTCTGCACCAAACCATTTAGTATCTGCCAAACAACCCCTAAGTCATTAATATCGTGCGTCGAAGGAAACATTGATCATAGATATAAAATCGTCGATCAGGGATCGAAGAAAAATAATCCTCGACCAAAGGTCGAAGATCTTATGGTTAAAGATAACCACAATCGTGGATGTCATGATCGTCGATCGTATGAATTATGGTTATAGTTGTCGTTGTCAAGGGAAATTTACTCATCGGTCGAAGGTATGATTTCTTACCAAAAATAACAGATTAAAATTACAGATCATGGATAAACACGACGTATCGTGTATAAACTTAAGAGACGACTTTTGAGATGAATATTTCTTCAAATGCTCTTGAACCTTATTTATAGGTAGCTTGAGTAACGGTTAGAACGGCAGTCTTTAATAATTATTATGGAGATAACGGTTGTTTCTTGATGAGGTCATTAAATACTGATTATCGGTTACACTGGGTGTATTAATGAAGAGAATCTTGATTATAAATATGTCAGACCTTCCATAAATGATAAAGATAACGGTCATCGAAGATAAACAAGCGTTACCGTTAGTCGAGGATAATTTAAGTAGGATCTCGATTGTCGATGATTCATGATTGTGTGTCGAAGATGTTATCAGCGTTGGGGATATTCGACAATTGATCGATGATGCTGGTGGTATTGTCGAGGATAATGTCCTCATCGGTTGAGGTTACGAATTTTTATTCAAACAATATGTGTGGTGGAGTATTCGTCGGTTGAGGTTACGAATCTTCGTCCCCGTTCATGTCGGGTGAACCGGGTTCCCCATCGGGTCGGGGCAAATCACCATCCCTAGTTATAGGGGTGTTTATTGACAATAAAATAAATGTTAAGGGTAGAAATGTACATTTTAAAGAAAATATACCCACGATAAGCACGTGCAGTTTGTCACGGCGGCCAACGAGGCACACGATACGTTGAGTCAAATAGTTGACCTAGACCAGTCGGATTCATCGTCAACAAAAACCACGTGTAATTTTTTTCCCTTTTTTATTTTGTTTCACTTTTTATTATAAGATTTGGTAGTTATCGAATATTTTAATGTAAAATTATTAAATGGTTAGAATAATTAAAAGATTTTTATAATATAATAAAAAATAAAATATAATTGTTTGATAATTATTCAGAATGAAATTAAGATACTGAATGATTAAAGAAGATCAAATATACAAAATTATTCAAAAGGTTTACAGATCTTTTTATCAAATAAAATTCACCTCTTAGTAATTCAGAGACCGACTCTTAATGAAATTATTAAGTAAACAAAAACCTTTTATCTTTTGTAAACTTACATTTTTTTATTTAATTTTAAAGAAAATATACACTTTCCCTGTTTTATGATTAAAAAATGTATTATATTTTTTATTCAATTAGGTAAATTTATTACATTTTAATTTAATAAAAAAAACACTCGTATATTAATAATTTGAAAAAATAAAAATAAATTAAACTGTTTTCCTTAAAACAAAGAGTGAAGGTGCCAGGTTAAAATTCAAGGAGGAATAAAAATCCCTTATGGCCACGGAGGTTTAAATGCAGAGACTCCAAGCTATCTGCAAAACATGTGTCGTCATAGGATTAGTCGGCTTGCATAACGGGTTAGATATCCAGATTAATAAAAAGACATTTTATTTATCCTAGGATAAATGCAACTCTGAAATGGTTAAATGCACCATATCTACTAATTTTCTCGATCAAACGAAAATCGACATAAAAGAAGTGCAATAATCATTTATAACGCTTTTATCGTTCCGGTTCACCTAAAATTCGATAACGATCTATCGGTTTTTCAAAAACACTTCCGTTAACGGTCTATACGGATACTAACGATTACAGCAAACGCGATCGATCACGACTAAGCTCTCTATAATGTCCAGGGTCTCTCAATCGACCCAAAATAAAATGACGATTCTTATTGTGTTTGCACTCGAAGAATCGGTGTTTTCTTTAACTAAACCAAAAAAACATCATCTACCAGCTTTATTTCTCGATACCGTTTCATCACCGATGTCTGTTGTGGTTGCTCCCGAGCCTAACGTTGTGTTGATTTCTTATCGGAAAACCCTGCTGCTGTTTTGGCTTTGGCAGATCGTGCAGTTCCATAACTTGTATCTTTCGCTGCTTCTTCGCTGTTCAAAACAAACACCGTCATCAGATTATTTTCCAAATGAACTCTTTTGTTATCAAGGACGAAAGAGTCAAAAGCCTATTAACGGAGACTAGAAGGATACAGATACGTCGAGTCACGTCGAGAGGTTAATTTTGTCATTTTGAAAACATTTTGTTGTTTTAGTTCAAAGAAGGAAACACAAACCGTTTTCCGCTTGTTGATACCGTTCCTGGAGCTTTCTCTTGGTCGCTTCAAATTTGTCTTGACCCGTTGCTTCGCCTGTGGGCCTCGGCTTCTGTTTGTTAGATAAAAACGACAGTTAGCAGCGTAATTGATACGTACAGCGGGAAGGTGATTTTATTTAGCTAAACGACACTCTCGACGAGTGCTTTTTTAAATCCATGACTTTTTGACGGGTTTTTTTTACGCACTCTTGTGTTGTGCGTAAAACATGTCGGAAGAAACAATCCTTTTAGAAGGTCATTTAACCAATGGACCATGGAAAGTCATCACTCACGCTTTGATGAGGCCTCTTCGGTTCGGTTTGCAGCTTTCTTTCCGTGTTCAGTTTGATACGTCTACCCGGTGCAGACTCGGCAACCGAAGGTTTGATCGGTTTCACAACAGTTGCTTGTTTCTTCTTCATTTTCATTACATCAGAGTCCGGCTCATTCTTACGAACCATAATTGGCACGTTTGTCGGTTTTTGCTGTTTGCATTTCGGTATGCTTTGTTTCTCGGTTCTACCATTGTTTCCAGGATCTGAAACAATCGAAAACAGTGAATCCCTATACAAGTTGAGAATTTAATAAAGAACCAAATAGCAAAAGAATTACTATTCAACTCACTTCCGTACTCGTCCATCCCGTCAAAGAACTAGGCACACCACGGTCGGAAAACAAGCCCGGTCAGAAAACGATCCCAAAATAAATATAAGTAACGAAAATCCGAGTTGCATACCTCAGATAGCTCCAATGACGTTTGAGGGTAAAAGAACGCTAAATCGTCGAGTGGAGGAGACGGGAGGCCTTCTTCTTCTTCATCAAGAACAGACGGGTTCAGTGACTCCGGTGTTGCTTCAGAAACCGCTGTTCGTCGTAACCCAATCAAATTAACGATGCAAATATTGAATAACAATAAATCGATACTTTGTTTCGATGCAACGTACCTGCCGCCTTTTCTGTAGCCATCACCCATTGATCAACCATATACTTCCACCCTCTGCATTTTCAGTAGTTCATCATATATGTTAGGATATGCAGACCTTTCGAATTCTCTCTAAAAAACCTCTTACGGAAACAAAGAAAGAAGATCCCTACATATATATACATGTATATATATATATATATATATAGAGAGAGAGAGAGAGAGAGAGAGAGCGAGTTGGGATCGTGTAAGAAATCAAAATTCCGTGACAAAACGTAGGAAGCACTTTGTTAGTGTATGTTTACATAAGTTAGTATCCTAACACACGTTAACATGTTAACTTATGTGAACCTCCGCTAGTGCTTCCTACGCTCCTCACGGGGTTTTGATTTCCTACACGATCCCAATTCATATATATATATATATATATATATATATATATATATATAGACATACATACAGAATCAGGTTCATACGAGAACAATACCTAAATAAGAAAATAAGAAGAGAGTCGAATCACATGTGATTCACGCGACTTTGGCTGCAACCTGAGGACGTGGACCACGTCGCCAGCACCCTCTTTGTTGACTATTAATGGAAAATTACATGTAATTTTGCACGTGATTTAGCCGTTTTCTTATTTTCCTATTAAGGTACCGTTCTCATGCCACTATACATACATGTATGTATATGTATATATATAGGTTTGATTGTCCGTATTAAGAGTAAATGATCACTTTATTTCAAATACAAGAGTTTATAGACCATATATCCATGCCCATTAGCGCGTGTGTGCTAAAACGTTGCTAACAAAGTCACGTGAATCTTTGCGCTAACGAATGATCAGTATTCCCGTTTTAGGAATCCAAATCAAAGTTGCACTCTCTTTCTTTACGGGTAGATTATCGTCAACTAACCGTTACTTGTAGATTAATACAATACTTGTGGAGCTAAATTAAGAAAAATTCATACCCGATGAGTGTCTTCGCAATGTGACGAACATCCTTTGACACATGCTTTCGAAGAACATTGATAGACTTTCCGATCTCAGTTGCCTGAAGCATAGATAATTTACATCCATAAGAACAAGACTTAAATTGTTTGATGACCAAAAGAACGAAGCCCGATTAGAGTTGTATTCGAACCTTGAGAATTTCCACCGATAATGCCATCAATTGAAGCTTTCTCAACGAGTTGTATAACACAGATTCAGACTGAAATTAATGATCACAGAACTATACTTTAAAGAACTGAAATTTATGATCACAAACATAATGATTTCTGCATATTTGTATAAAGAAAAAGGATAACTGCAATCTTGCAACTGAATTCGATCAAAAACAAGTTGTACCCATGAATTTCGATACCCAATTTCAGATTATAAGAGGATCAAAGAATGCATAATTTGTTTGAAGGTCCATCAAGAATGATGAACAGTGAATAGAATAGCTGCATTTTGGTAGAAAAAGAAGCAAATTTGCAATCTTGCAACTGAATTGGATCAAAAACAAGCTCTACCCATGAATTTAGATACCCAATTTCAGATTATCAAAGGATCAAAGAAGCATAATCTGTTTGAAGGTTCATCAAGAATGATGAACAATGAATAGAATAGCTGAACAAAAGGTCTGAATGCCCGAGGAAATGCTCAGCAGGGAAGTTGCGATTTTGGTAGAAAAAGAAGTAAATTTTGCAATCTTGCAACTGAATTGGATCAAAAACAAGCTCTACCCATGAATTTAGGTACCCAATTTTAGATTATAAAAGGATCAAAACACAATCTGTTTGAAGGTTCATCAGGAATGATGAACAATGAATAGAATAGCTGAACAAAAGGTCCAATTTTGATAGAAAAAGAAGTAAATTTTGCAATCTTGCAACTGAATTAGATCAAAAACCATGAATTTAGGTACCCAATTTCAGATTATAAAGGTGTTACAGAATGCACAAAGACCAACAAATTTGCATTCTGTTGAATTGAAACCAAAGAAAGTTGAAGGATTAGGGAAGAACCTCATCTTGATGGTTATCAACAATCTGTTTAATCCTCATAACCTCACCAAACATCTGGGATTCCTCTTCGATTTCATCTGTCAAAGCTTCTGCAACTCCATAATCGTAATCACTAACTTTATTAATAATATTATCATTAAGCTCTTTATGATCATCATCATCATCATCTTCTTGTTCATCATCTGCAGGAAAACCTAATTCCAGTTTATCACAACCACAACACTTGATCAAGTTACAGGAGAACAAAATCTGAGCAATGCCATCTCTCCTGATTCGAAACTCTTTTGGGTAATCAGAAGCAGCCACCATGATGGCTTTTTCGATGGTTTCAAACAGATCGCCATTAGAAGTCTGAAAATACTCCCTCCAGTAATCCATTCGACCACCAGATTCCAAAGCTGCCATTGTAACCGCCTCCCCCCTCCCCCCAACAACAAAAGATCAAACACCCGATTCTTTCAAGGACTTTCCGAGTGTACCCAGTAATCGAAACCACCGATTCGATCGCACCCACAAAATCGGAAGCCTCGATTTTTAAATAAATTCGGTAGAAATTAGGGGAACAACAGAAGAAACAACAGCAAACCCTTGTAAGTTCGATTGAAACAGTGAAAAAGACACCAAACTAAGATCAGATTGTATCAGTAGGTTGTGTATGATGAATCTTGCTTAGCGTTTTCGTTATGAAACTGAAATTTGTGAAGAACCCAGTTGGGATTTATCGAAGAACCGATAAGATGACCAAACAGATATTACAGAATCCGAAATCGATGATGAAGAAAGGATCGTTATAATTATGGGAGAGATACTTTTTGCCTTATTTGATTTCAAGAAAATATGCATACATTTTTAGATATACATCCCCTTCTCTCTGACTTCCTTTCTCTCACTAAAAAGAAAAGATGGAATTTTCAATTCAGGGGGCTGGAAATGGAAGATGCAATATTTTTATATTCATTCCATTTGGGCAGATATGACAAACGCCACGCAAAGTTGTAAAATTTAGCATCTTTCAAGAAACATTTCACCAAAACAAACGTCAAACACTCTGAAACACCAGTGTTTTGTTTCAATCAATCGGGTTGAAGTCATTTAAACAACCTAATCTAATGTTTGTAGTTTGGAAAATCTCAACTCAACCATAAGGGTGGTGTCTAATTGGTTTGAACTTGACTTCAAAGGTCAAAAGTACCTTGAGGTCTCAGCTTCAAATCCAATGAGGAATAAAAATCTTTTTGTGGCTACGAAGGTTCAAATGCGGTGACTCTGGGCTATCTGCAAAGCATGTGGTCGTCCTAGGATTAGTCGGCTCGTATAACGGGTTGGATATCCAGGTTAATAAGAAAAATCTCAACTCAACATAACTCAACTCAAGTAAAACTACGAACCAACTCAATCCGAACTGTACGGGTTGGATTGGGTTGGCTTGTAATTTTAGTTGGGTTGGGTTGAGTTGAGATTTTTTAAACTACAAATATTGGGTTAAGTTGTTTAAATGGCTTCAACCCGATCAATCTGTCTCATGTGCACAAACCGTGCAGGTTGGGTTAGGTTGGGTTGGTTGATCAGGTTAAACTTTGATATATCATTTTACAATATAGCTAGGTATTTATCTATATTACCTTATAAACCAGATTTATCAAAAGTCTTTAAAATAATTTTAATGCACAAAGTGCTATACATTTATGCACAAAGTCTTAAAAGTCTTAAAAACAACTCATAACGCATTAAGTACTACTACTTTATGCATTCAGTTTTAAAATCCCTTAATTTACAATTAAAATAACATATAACATAAGTTACCAATGCACATTATTATTTTTTATTTTCATGTTCCCAAGATACTTTTGACACTTTTTACTCATGCCTTCATCCTCTCATACATTTATGGTTTCTCCCTATCCCCCAAGGTAAGATTCAAATTGATATTCACCATGAGTTATTAAAAGTTCTCTCATTCAATTGCTCTAGAATTCTCGGTTTCGCTCTCGATCTTTTGATTTTTTGCTCTTGGTGTAAATCGAACACATTTGTGGAGTCGTTTAAATATGTTGGATTTTAAATTATCATACAAATTTTTTCATCAATAAACTGTAATTGGAACCATAACTCTTATTTATTCAAATTGTATTAATATGTAAAGACCAAGTATAACTTATATCATCATTAAATCTTCTCTAATAAAACCAGTGAAACTTCAAAATCATGAAAATTCACGGCTCCCGCCGCATTGCGCAGGTACACAACTAGTGTTTAAATAAAGTAAAATCAAAATGGTAACATACAAAAATGACTAACAAACTCAAAAAAGAAAGTTGAGGTTCATGTAAATGAAAATGTAAAATTACGGTTGAAATTGCAATATAATTTTTGAATATAGCTAATTATGGATTAGTCTTATGTCTAATATACAAATGTTAATCAAGGACTTAAGAATCATATTAAATCCATAGTATAAAAAGACATTGAGTTCATTAGGTTGGGTTGGGTTGGGTTGGGTTGGATTGCTTTCAAATGATCCTAACCCAGTTCCAACACAATAGATACGCTTTGGCTAATCTTATATCAACTATGTATCGGGTTACCTTAAGTTAAGTTTGTTTTTAATGATTCTAAAATCATTTTAACGATTTTGCATCATGGGTCTCCCTCAACCATTCAGCGCCCTAATTTTATCGTAAACAATTACCGAACAATTATATTTCATTTTGCAATATATCATGAAAACCTTTTAATCATTCTGACCACTTAATCATTTTGCATCAAACCATTCAGCAACTATCAAACAGCCACTTAGTCGAAACCAAGGTTCTGAATGGTGTTATTGTCACATGATTGGCAATGTCAAACCTCAAGGCTCAAGAGTCACGTTGAAGCCATGACATTTTTCAAAGTGTGGCCATTGAAGGATGGAAGTATTAGTAGTAGGGGTCACAAGCCCTCAAGTAATATATGCAAACAAGGCTAAAAAAATTGAAACATATTTTTCGAAGAATACCAACTGATATTCTAGCTTATTTGAAGACATTTAATTTTGTGATTTATTTACACTTAATGTTTCATATTTTAGATGTCATGGACTTGTTGTCACGAGCTCTTAAAAAAAGATCAAGATATTTCGGAAGCGGTTTCATTGGTAAGAGAAACCAAACAACTATTGCAACAGTTTAGAGAAACCGGTTTTGATCCACTTTTGAAGAAAATATATTCTTTTTTGTGAGCAAATGGTATTAAATCTTTGGATATGGCAGACCGTTATTCAAAAAAATGGAAGATAAAGGACCAACATCACCAATCGTCATTATTACAAATTTGATATTTTCAACGTTGTTGTGGACATGCAACTTCAAGAGTTTGGGAATTGATTTAGTGAGGTAAGCACATTGCTTAAAAGTATAGCAACTTTGAGTCCATGTGATTCATTGTTGTAGCTCAATGTATCATATTTGTTGAAGTTGAGTGAGTCGTATCCTAATGATTTTAGTCATATAGAAAGGAATGCTCTTGAGCAACAACTTAACATGTACTATGTGATTGTACATCAAGATGAAAGATTTGCCGAAATTTCAGTGGTATTACTAAGATTTCTAGATCATGTTGGGTAGTCCACACGCATGACAAATATCAGTGTTTTATTCAATTTTGAGGAGAGAGTACAGATTATGGGGTTATTAACTAGGTTAGAATATCATAGATTAGGTGCACTTCTGTAAATATACCTCCGGTAGTCCATAAAATCCCTCTTGTGTGCTAAGTAACCCCTCTCAGGAGTAATAAAATCTATTTGGAGGATAGGAAAACCCCTCTTATACGCTAAAGAACTAATATGGTGAAGAACAAAACCCATATGGCGTGCGATGAAATCTCTATGGTGTGCTACAAAATCCCTCTACCACCATATTGAGGTCTTAATTCGAGGCATCCTCACAACCACGCTTTATTAGATTGAAGGCATCTTTCAACTGTAGTGGAGCCATGCTAGCACTAGAAGGGGCGTGTGCTCCTCTCGAGATTTTTTTTGATATTTCAAATTGCATTACACATTTACATTTCATCTCGCGCCTCTCACATGAACTCTTGGTGTTGTTGATGCATTACAAATATTTGCATTACCCTTTGGGCCCCACATAGAACTGAAGAATCTGATCTCAAACTTGGTGTTGATAACCTATTAAGTTGTAGCTCCAAACATATAATGTTTATGCTCCTCTAAAAGCTCTTGGTGTTGTTGCTTTAGTGCTTTTAGGCGCTATTTACCAATCGTTAACTGGGTAGGCGTTTATTGGGCAGTAGTTACCACTCTTACTTACCTTAGTAAGATTCTTGACCATCAAAATGACATAGTAACGTTGTTAGTAAGCGTCTTTTACACAATAAGCACTAACCGAGTAAGAGTCATCCTCACTTACCAAATAAATTTCTAGTCATTCTTCTTGGTAGGTAAGATTCTCATTCTTTGTCATGCTCTCTCGATAAGGTAAGTGATCCGGTAAACATTTACCTAGTTAGCATTCGGTAAACAACTTTTAGTGAGGTTAAAACCATATGTCGTAAAAAAAAGTTAGAACTGAAGCGCACTTAGAATTGATGGATATATGCCATTTGTGCCCCCTGATTCTCAATTCTGGTTCCGCCCCTTTCTTTCAATACTTGTGTTTGAAAAATGTAATTTGATCTTTGACGTATCCGTTAAGATATGGATCTATAGTTGTTGGATAAAAGTGGTCGTATAGACATAAAATATGGTCCTCCTTTTAGTACTAATCTAAACTTCTCCATAACTTCCGCATTTATTTCAATTTGGTCCTTAGTCATATCGATCTGTTGGTTTATGTCTTCATTATATGGAGTCCATGTAACTTGATCGTAAATCAATCATAGAATCGATATAAATACACCAAGGGCTTGTTTGTTTTTAAAAAAAAGCTCTTAATACCTCTTAAGTCTGAATCGGTCAGACGTTTTTATTTTCAGACTGTTTGATTTTTTTTTTGAAAATAAGAGCTGAAAAGCTCTTATTGTCCTCTGAATTTTTAAGTGGTAGTCTAAACTCTTAATGGGCTCTTACTCACACACCATATCGATCTCTCGTTCTCTCACTTGATTTCCAGCTACCAAATCATACCGATCTATCCCACATCATATGATCTAGACACCATATCGATCTCTCGCTCGGTCTCAAGCTACCGATCTATCCAAAACAATCTCTCCTATATATGAGTTATTTTCTGAGTATGATCAAACCAATGAGCAAGGGATGATGGCGACACAATTAATGCAATATGAATATTGGTTCTAGTCGTTATAAGACTTTTTTCGTGTTTATATTGATTCAGATTTCAGACTTCAGACATAAAAACAAACAGTCTGACTGATTCAGATTTCAGACTTCAGCACCACCTCTTATAAATCAGAAGTGAAATCAGACTTCAGCACCTCTTAGAAAACAAACACCACCCAAGTATTATCTTAAATATCAGAAGCATACTATTCTTTATTGATCATTTCTTAAAGTATTGGATATTAACGTTGAGTTTGATCTTTTTTTTTGGTAAAACAACACTTGAGATTCCTTTCCCCCCACTTATACCAGGATCAGAGTTATGAGACTTGTCATGACCGGAATTATTTCCTTTTTGACCACTATAGCTGATAAAATAAGCTCTCAAAATGAAACTTAACGTGGGTTCATGAAATGAGATGCATACATGTTGTTTTTGAGTCTGAACTCAATCTGTGACAACGGCAACAACTCAAAAGGATGAAGATAACCTAAGTTGGGAACTATCATGCAATACTGCCATCACTTCTTGCTATCAAAATCGTCATATAAGTTCCAACTCGATCGTTACTAGTGAAAGTTTTTTCCCTTC